TATTTTCCAGTGGTGAGGAAAAGATGAAAGGGGCTATCAGAGAAGGCTTGATACTTTTCAGTCTTAAAGGATGAGGGGAACTTTCACTGAAAGTGAAGAGTGAGTTGGGAGCATCCACAGTAGACGATACAGCATATTCATAAATGGACACTTACACTCTGGGTAACTGACTTCTTTTTAAGTCTGTTTTCTCATTTGTAAACTGGGAATAGTAACATTTTTCCTGGCTAAAAGGGAGTTATTATAAAGATCAAATGAGGCATTTTTCTAAAAAAGCACTTGCGGCTACTGATAACAGCTCTAATTTCAAAAGTGTTTTTTAGTATTTTAATATTATGATATTTATAATGTCCGTATATAATAACCTGATGACATAGTTATTATGATCTCCATTTTACAGATGACAAAACTGAGGCTCAAAGAGGAATAAATCCTTCCAAAAGTATGAAATAAAAGAACTGGGGTGTGAAACCTATATTTATATACTATGTCTCTTGATTCAAAACTATACAGTTTGACTAACACACCATTGTAAAGCAATTATACTCTAATAAAAACGTTTAAAAAAATATACAGTTTGACACACATACATGCGCGTGTGTGTATATATAAAAGTATACATATATGTATGTATATATATATATATATATATACACATATATATTTATACATATATATGAGGAAGAGAGGCTTTTCCCCTTATCCTGAGGACTTTCAAGAGGATTTGTATTTAACTCACTTTCATGCCTCAAATTTAAAATTCAGGATTTTTGACCCAAGTAATTAAGGGTTAACATTTTTTTCTGGACAATTATCAAGTTGTCTTGTGTGTTATAAATAGTATTCTAGTTAATTAAATCATTACTTTAACCTAGAATATCACTGAACCTTTATTTGCCCTATAACCAGACATGCACTCTTACATAAACTGCATTGCCAGAGGACACTGAGTCTGTCTCATTACTTCATTTTTCCAAAGGTTCCAGAATTGCCATACCAAGGCAATGGTTTTCAGGGTGCTCCTCCTTGAGGACCTCTCCTATTACAGCTCTAGGGAGTCTTCCCATTGTCTTCTGAAGGAATGTTCTCAACAGTAGTTACAGCCATATGAATTAGACAATTTGCATAGGCCTATATTCAGAGCGAAGACTGACAGATGAGGAAGCCACATCTTAATTTTTTTTTTTTGCGGTACGTAGGGCCTCTTACTGTTGTGGCCTCTCCCGTTGCGGAGCACAGGCTCCGGACGCGCAGGCTCAGCGGCCATGAGTCACGAGCCCAGCCGCTCCGCGGCATGTGGGATCTTCCCAGATCGGGACACGAACCCGTGTGCCCTGCATCGGCGGACTCTCAACCACTGCGCCACCAGGGAAGCCCAGCCACACCTTAATTTACAGTCTTTTTAAAAAGGATTCCTTACTTGACATTTGCATCTCCTGGGTGATTATTAACCAGGAAATGGGAGATTCTTGGGCAAAAATGAACAGAAGACATTCAAATTCAATTTTTCCAAAGTGATTATGTGAATATTACACTTTTTTTTAACCAAAGAACTATGTCTATTTCCTCACTGTTAATAGAAGTATGCTGTAGATTCCAACTTGATCCCTTATCAATACTACATTCAATTCACAATATTGTGAATGATCCAGGGAACAAAAAGGATGTAGGTTTCCTTCTCCTTGATTGTGTTACTTACTATACATCTAGGAAAGTATAAAAATAGAAACAAAGGCCTCAGTCAACTGATGTCAATGATGGTTTCATAATAAAAGTCATTTCCTGGGTATTAAAAATGCTGAATATAGGTTAAGTAAAAATTTAACATATTTCAGCCGAGCTTAAGGAAATAATTGTATCTTTTCTGTGCTTGATTTTGAGTGATACCATAAAGTACCATTTTAGCACAAATACCAGTCCCCATAACAGATTCTAAGCCCTGGGGCAGTCCCCAGACTACTCTGGAACTTCTCTATTAGAACCTGTTACTTTTATTATGCTTCTGATAACTCTGAGAACCTTCTGATAACTCTGAGAACATTGCTCCAGAATGAACTTGACATTTGCCATCTCTAAATCCTTGTAAGGTACCTGACTTCACTGAGCCTGTTTCTTCATTTGTCAAACTGGTCTAATCATAACTACCTCCTATAGTGTTTTAAGGAGCGAAGGAGATGATAACGTGGAGAACACCTAACACACCACATGGTCGGCTCACAGGAGGCATTTGGTAACTGTTAGCTCCCTTCCCAGCTCCTGGATTTGTGCCTCAGTGCTGAACCACACACCCCAATTGCCCAAGTTGTTCATGTGGCAAGATGATGCAGAAGGCAGCTAGAATACCTGGACCAAAACCCAGACCGGAGAGGCCTGTCATCCTGTTTCTACCTATGATGTGTCATCTCAGGTTGTGCCAGCACCAGGCAGCTCATAAACTCTCAGGGTCAAAAGAAAAGATCTGAGGTGAGCCATTGCCTCATTGAGATCCGCGCTTCTCAGGTTTCAAGAAAGAATGTTTATTCTGCTCAATTCTCTGTCATTGTGCAATGAAGTGGACATCAGTTGTCTTGGATCTGTCATTCAGGAACACGCTCAAAAGCCCATTTGGCTATCAATGAACATGTCTGACTTTTAGATCAAGAGCCCCTAAACGTTAATTGCAGAACTCAAGAGAAAAAATTCTCCTCTTCATCCTCCAACAATCAAAGATTAGAAATGATAATTTAGGGCTTCCCTGGTGGTGCAAGTGGTTGAGAGTCCGCCTGCTGATGTAGGGGACACGGGTTCGTGCCCCGGTCTGGGAGGATCCCACATGCCACGGAGCGGCTAGGCCCAAGAGCCATGGCCGCTGAACCTGCGCGTCCAGAGCCTGTGCTCCACAACGGGAGAGGCCACAGCAGTGAGAGGCCCGCATACCACCACCCCCCCAAAAAAAAGAAAGAAATGATAATTTAAAATTATATATTATTTAGAATGCATTATCTAGTTTGAGGTATCTCAACCCTTTTATTTAACGTTGAGTAAGCTAAAAGTGCCAGCAAACCTGGGTGCGAACTTTTTCAGCGTAGCTTTGCTTTTCTATGGGACACCGGGTAATAGTTTCCCCATATATAAAGCAAGAACATCAATATCAAATATTTATAAAATGTAAAGGTAACCAAATGATTGTGGGGTGTGTGTAGCACTTTAAATCTGCATGTGTTGGAGACAGAGGATGGAAATGAAAGTGTCTGTATTTTTTCCACAGATATAAATACATGTGAATTCCACAAAAAAAGCGAAAATAAAATGTTTGCTGAAATCTAAAATAACTGTTTCCTTCTTTTGAAGCCTAGACATTTGGGAAAAGTATTTCTAGGTAATCTTGTGTTTGGGGGGAAAATGGCAATTTCACAAGTAACAGGTGGCCTTGCCTTTTTTCCATGTGCTCTGGAATAAGACTATTGAACTTGCATACCTGAATAGAGTACAGAGATATGATATAGAACTTCAAACAGGAACTTTCCTAGTGGCAGGGAAATATCTAAACAAACTGGGAAAACAGAAACTGACCTAGCTCATTTGGAAATGGGCTTGGCAGCTGATGAAATAGGTGAACTATAATTAAGTAATGCAATAAAGGAGTTAAGCACTTTTATGGCAACAAAAACACACGACACATATGCTAGGTAGGTAGTAACCAGGTTATTCAGAGGCTCTTGCTGTCTCAAATTAGCATATTCAATGAGTGGCCCAGAACAGACACTTACTTGCATTGTTCAGAGCAACCTTACAGGTGGAAAAAAACGCGCTAAGCTATTCTGATCTCTAGGTTAATTTCTAACTTTAGGAAGACTGTCACCTTTGCAAATTCATTCTTTTCACGGAGACTTCAAAACAAAGATAGCAAAGCCACATTATTTACTGAGAACCTTCTAGCACGTCGTTCTTAGTACAGTTTTGGTAGAAACCACAGATCCAGTTTCCACCTATGTCCTTGAAGTTGGACAACTATGCATAGTATGCATTTCATTCGGTTTCCCAACCCGTTAAGATAAGGCGTGTCGAAATAATAATTGACCTGTCACATCCTGCACAGGTAGAGTGAGTTAGGGGAATTCGCCTCATTGCAACTCCAGAAAAAAAGCGAGATTGACAACCTTTATTTCCTTATTAAAATTTTCATATACAGCTCCAAATTCCTCTTGAAATTTAGGAATTCACAATATATATTTTTAAACCAGGAAAGTTAAAGATTTTTTTCCCCCCTGTCCACAAGAACTAAATTATCTCAAATAAGAAGACAAGCATTAAAGTACGCTCAGCCATTACAGAATACAAGGGTGCAAGCAGCAGCGAGCGAAAATAACCCGACCAGCCCGCGGGGCGAAACCGGAAGCAGCAGGTGTTGGCGTCCATGGGCCTCCAGGAGCACCCGGACCTGCGCGCGCCCCTCCCGCTCCGGGTACGCAAACAGCCTTTTCATTCTGGGGAGCTTCAGCGAAGCTGGCACCGCTGCACGCCAGGGCTCCCAGACGCTTAACCCGGCTTGATTTAGAAAACTGAAGGCAAGACAGGCGGAACAGCGTTTCTTTCCAAAAGGTCTTTCCTAGGCGCGGGTCTTGTCCATACTCCCGCCTCCTGTCCCCGCCCCCAGCCCGGTTTTCCCCTGTCTTTTGGATTTCTAGACCTGTCAGATTTTCAAAAGGAAACAACAAATCCGAAATCTTTTCAACTTTTTATTTCGCCTAATACGGAGCTATATTACTTCATGCAGAACACACAGACCAAGTTCATCTATCCGTGCAAGGTATTTTAACACCAGCCCCTTCCCCTACCCCACCCCCTACCCCACCCTCTTCCATAGCCTGCTGGAGGGAAAGACGGGTTCGCCTAACGAGAGACGTCGTTCGCAACGGAGTACACCTGAGTCTGGTGGAAAGCGCGGTACTTGTCAAATGACAGCTGCCTCGGGGCCGCGCAGTCTCGTCTTCCGCGGCGGGAAGGGGCGGGGGACTCACCCAGGCAGAGCAGCGGCGCGGGGACCCAGCGGGCACGGCGCGGCTCCATCCTCCTCCCCGCGTCAGCGTGTGAGGGGCGCGGGCGTGGCCTGGGCGACGGGGCTGCGGCGGCGGCGGCGGTGCCGGCGGCGGCTGGTGCTGAGGGAGCTGCGGGGGCCACGCGTCTGCAACTTTTCCCTCCGACACCCGGCCTGTAGGACAAGTGAGCTCCACAGCCCGCGCCGAGACCTTTATAAGTACGGGGCGGGGCCTGGGGACTGAGGACTAACTGCGTGTCCAGAGTTTCATAATCGCCCTCGGGGGAGGAGTGGCCGGAGGACTGTCCGGATGTCATCCTCCCTCTCTGAACACCTGCGAGTGGCTGAGGAATGAAACAATGCTCTTCGGGTGAGCCGGGGACTACTCCCCACACTTTTGCAGCTCCCTCTCGGGCTTCTGCGGGCGGAGGTAGGGAGCGTGGACCAGAAGGGTTGGTTTGCGCTGTGGGACCACCTGCTGGATAGTGGGCGGTTTTAGTTGCTCTGGGTGACAGGCGTAACTTGAGTCAGCCAGTCTTCCTGCCAGGGCTGGAGTTCCCAGTACGTGCATTTGGAGAGCTGTGTGTGTGTGACTTACGGAAGTTCTTGAAACTTGTCAGTGGCTCAAGGACTTTCTTTGTGTTCACACCCACCACTGCCCAGAGTTGCTTTTTGTGTCTACACCTTCTTTCGAAGCCCCTCGGCTTCCTACGTGGTACAGGCATTTATGGCTTCAAAATCTAGTGATTATGAAGAAATAATCATAATTATTTCTTCATAATCATCATTTCTTCCCCTAAATGATTTAACTTCCCTGAACTTTGCCTTAATCCTGTCACTCCGCTGTACAGAATCTTTCAGTAACTTACCGTTGCCTTTTGGACAAGGCCAGACACAAATGTAAAGCCAACAGCCTTTTCAATCTCAGCTCCCACTAGTTCACCCAACAAATTTTCACACCCCAGCCAGGCTGGGAAACTCACTCTGCCTTTGCTTATTCCCATTTTCCTCCCTGTGCTGGTGGAGTCACAGTTTGGGGAAATGGCTGCCTTTTACTGGAGCTGGTCAAATCCTACTCACTTTCCTGGTTCTCCTCAAGGGCCTGGATTTCTTGACCCTACAGGGATCTCTCTCCATTCTGATCTCTTACAGCTTGTATTGTTTATCTTTCCCCTAGACTCAGAATTCTAGATCTGGTACTTCATACCTGATGAAACTACTTTGATTTGTTTAACTTTTCTTGTTTGTCAGTCATATGTTCAGATCTGTATGAATACATAAATTGCCTTACTTGTTGTTGTATTTCCCCTGTAGGGCCTGAAAACAGTGTGTCAATACAGCAGTACTGACAGCATAGTTGAATGGAAAGTGGAATCTAATGGATGTTGGTTAACTCCTTACCTTTCTGCTTTTTGTTTTCTTCTTATTATTCCTTTCCTTTTCCTCCCTCCCTCTCTCTCTCCTTCCTTCCTTTCTTTCCTTCTTTCTCTCTTTCTTTCTTTCTTTTTCTTTCTTTCCCTTTCTTTGTTTTCTTTCTTTTCTTTTTCTTTCTTTCTCCTTCCGTCCCTCCCTTTGTTTGTTTCTTCCTTCCTTCCTTCCTTTCTTCCTTTCTTTCTCCCTCTTTCTCCTTCACCAGAACTCTCATGTTGGAAACAAACACTTTGTCTTTCCCTCGGTGGTTAAGATCATGGGTTCTGGATTTAGATTGTCTGCATGTGAATCCTTGGACAAGTTGTTTAACCTCTCTCCATTTCCTCATATGGAAAATAGGGATAATAATAGTATCTAACTCATCGGAAGATAATGAAGGTGCTTTCTGTAATGCCTAGTACAGAGTTGGCACTCTTTAAAAATTCCTGTTATGATATGTAAACACATGTTAGGATGATGGTACTTAATAGGTTGGCAGTATTCATGAGCTAAATGAATGAATGCATGGTAAGGTAGAGGTAGGATTATGGGTTCCTAAGTCTAACTTCTGAATCCAGAGGGAAAACAAGCAGTAAGTAACTTGTCACTTAATTGATCTTTTGTAAAAGAATAAATGGAACCAAGAGAGATGATCCTGGCAATGGGTTAGTTTTATGGAACATTAACAGGGATCCCAAATTTGGTAAATTAGAATTAGGAAAAGGGACTGCTGGCTCGTAATAGTTTTTGTTTTACAAATTGGATCTGGAAAAGAAATAACTCAAGTGTCTGAAAAATTAAAGCAGAATTCATTGGAAAGAATGAGGGGTCAACTGGGAGCATTTCCTTATTTTGCACAATGGCCTGTCATTTACCTACGAGGAGTGACAGGAAGAAGAATGTCTTAGTCCTAATTAATGTCTTATTTCAACAAATACAGTGTTGTGGTTTGTGCTCAAAAGAAGGATGGGGTGGGAACACATTGGGGAAAATGGGGTAATGCAGCAGCAGTCAACTCTTTGGTATTGATATGTGAAGAGGAATTTTTTGACGCTTTGTAACTAATGCCTGCAAGCATGAGATATCATCATAGTGAAAAAAATCCTTGTGCTTATCCCAAAATTTTCCACAGCAAGGAACTCCTCTACGGGTTAAGTTCACATGGTGTGAAGAAATCTTTTCTTTATTGGTTCTATGTTTACTCAATTTTCTAGCCATTAGTTTTCGAGAATGACTCCATCATGATACATCAGGGAAGATTTGCCACTGCCTCTGTGAAATAGCCATCTTCTTCTTTTTTTTTTTTAATAATTGGAAACAATTTTCATTCATCTTTCATTTAAACGTATCGTAGTATGAGGTACAATCATAATTACCCTTAAAGGCACAAAATATATTTGAAGATAGGACAGTTTGGGAAGAAAATAATCAAGTCATAGAGAATTTTCCAACTATGAAGTGACTTAAAGACATCAACCAGATCAGCAATTCCCAATGTGAGTGAGAGGTTTGAGGATTTTCTTTGTCAAATGGTTAGTAAATATAAATAATACTTATAGTCTAAATATCTAGTACATTGAGTATTGTGATTATTAAAATGTATTCATTTTAAATTGATAATGAATTCAAGGTGGCTTGGTGGCGCCTGTAGTTTGATACATAACAAACATGTAACCTCTGTCAGGTGGAGAGATGTGGCAAAATAATCTTTTTACATTATAAGAGGTCTTCTTAGGGGAATTAGGAAACCCTGGGCTGGCAGCATCCACATACAGGCCTAAATGGGTATCAGCAATAAACCTATTACAGACCATAGCCAAATCCAGCCCTGGGCCAGACCTAAAAAACTAGCATCTAGCCTCAGACAAGAATGGATAAAACCTCACAATTCTTCCATCTCTTGCTTTTTTCCTCAAGTCAGTGCTCCTTGGGACTGCAACAGGCACTTATTTATTATGAAATTACTGCTTTTCAAACTAACAACAGATAATACCTGCTTTGGTGAATTAGCTTTTATATAACACAAAATGTTTAAAGTCTTTTATTAGTTAATCCTTAGCAAGAACTGCTACAATGGAGTGGTGCTGGATTACTTTTCTTTTACAATGAAAGTGTTGAAAAATATAGGAAAGTGTTCAAGATTAAGTTATTAAATTTGATATTCAAAATATGAGTCCTAGAACATGAATTTTGTTCTATCAGATGCTAACTTCTGAAAAAAAAAACTGATTTTATTCTAAATTTAGCCAAATATTAACCATATGGGAACTTTTTAGCAAGTTCCACTTGAATGAAGAATTTATGTCCTTCAGGATAATTTTTAAAATGTGTGCTAAATAGTGTCTTATAAACTACAAATAAAACACAGATTTCCAAGCAAAATTCTGGGCTCTCTCTATCCCCATATATCACCTTTATGGGAAAGTGACTGCTTTGCTTTTCTCCTTGACCAAAAATCAACAGACTGCCATGCCATCTCTCAGTGATTTATTTATTCATATCATATACAGTTAGAGACAAAAATAAAGAAGGGAGGAATATATATTGAATGTAGTGATCCTCCCTTTTTTTAAATAACCTTTATCATAGACTTTTTTTAAAAAGTAATTTTCCTCTGGACTAATCCATTCTTAATTGAGAATTAGTATAAGAATTCAAAAAGGAAAATTTCCTTGTTTTTCTTTCAGTATATACAGAGGTAGAGGAAAGTAAAAATTTAGAAAGCTTTAAAGTCTAATAAATAGTAAATTATTATTTCTTATTGATTGACCTGATAATTTGAGGAGTTTTCTGAAACGAAAAATGATTCCAAAACATTTAAAAATTTACGTACCATTTGAATGTTGACTGAATGGTGTGGATGGCTGATTAACTGATTAGATCAGTGAATTCACTCAAAGACACTATCTTCTGTTTGTGGTTCTGTTTAAATTCAGAACCATAGGTGGAAAGGAACATGAAAGTAGTGGATATTTGTTCTTAAATCTAAATGTGGATGGATGTGCCTAATAATAATAATAATAATGACAACTACTACTTATACCTAACATTTTTAACTCACTGGGTAGTTTAAAATATAATGGCTTACTTATTCCTCTAAATAACCCTGTGAGGTCAGTACATTTTTATTTCCGTTTTACAGATGAGACTAAGGCAAAATAGTAAGGAATTTGTTCAAGGCCCTTCAGCTCATAAACAACAGAGACGGGATTCAAACCAGGCAACCTGACTCCAGGTGGTACCAGACTCTTTCACCATCACACTGTATTGCTTTGACGCATAGCAACACCTGGTTCACTGAAAGTGCAGTGCTTGTTATATGTGCGACGCTCTCAGATATTTTCATTAAAATCCACGTTTCTGGAGTTTTCTAGTCTCAAATTCTTTTCAAAGAGCATTCACATCCCTTTGCAGATAGTTTTTTGTACTCCTTCCTTAAGACGAATGTCCTATGTTGTTGTTATCCTATAAAGAAGAAAATCAGGTGTGCCAGCCTTCCAGCTTCCATTGCCAAAGCATTTGTTAATCTTACTATTTTATGGTTCATTGTGCTTATGTAAAACATTTTATTCTACAAATGTCCCATCAGAAATGTCACCTGTGAATTTCATCAACAGAATCCTCTGAAA